AACAGTATGCGTACGAACAACCCCAATGAAAGACTGCCAGAACAAGTCAGACTCGCAAGCACACCCCACCACCAGAAAGTGAGGCTGACGCTAGGCCATCAGATGTGAGACATTGAGACTCGCTAGACTCAGTGCTGCGCAAGTTTGGAGAGTTGGAGCGCAGGATCATGAGAAGGCCACATCCGACGGGGGAAAAGACCGCGCACCGCCGGCAGACACGACTCCCTGCACCCCAGCAACTCCTGCACCGCGGCGCTTACAGGCGCCACACCAAAGGCCCGGCAGGCTAAGGCTAAGGCAGAACTGAACAACACGGGGGTTGCCAAGAGAGCTGCGCGTCCGGAGGGAAAACACGCACGTCTTTCTCGCCCTCCCACAGAGCCGGCAGGCGACAACGAACCCGTAGGTCAGGCAAGAAAACAGCCGGGAGCTCCTCCGACCCATCCCAACGGCTGAGCCAGTCAGCTGACTCGTTGTGGCATCCCGCAATATGAGAAGTGTCCAGGGTCACACATGTGTTCCAGGCCAAAGTTGCCAAGCGTTGAGCAAAATAACAGAGTGGAGAGGCAGTTGTAAAAAGTTTGGCACAGGCAGCTTCTGTGCCAGAATTGTCCGTCCAGCTCGGAATGGCCACCCGCAGGCGGCCGCCTGTACAGACGGAAGCAAAGGCAACCACCAACGCTATCTGGGCCAAAGTCTCATACGAAACAATATCCAGGTTGGCATCGTCACTGACTGGAATGCCAAGGCTTTGAAACTCAGAGACCTGAAAAGACTCTGAGAACCACACACGCTGCTGGCCGTGAAAAGCAAGCCAACCACCAATGCCCACAACAGTGCCTTGCGTACGAGCATCTGCTGCAAGAGTAACGTCTGGCTGAAAGGGTGGCAAAGACAGCGGTCTGAAAGTCTGAGGGCGCAAGCACCATGCCTTCCAGAAAAGGAGGAATTGCCGGCTAGCCAAGGACAACTTACGCTTGGCAGTTGTTGGGTCTGCAATTCTAGCCCACAGGCGCTTGCCAGTAGCACGCACCAAACGAAGGTCATCCAAGGAATGGATGTCCACATGGCGAACACTGAGCAATCTGGAGCCCGGGCGAATGCTGGTGCCAGGGGGGGTTGCCTTGAAGCACATTTGATCGTCCAGGAAATCAGCGATGCGCTGCCACACCACGGGGTTCAAAGAAAAATTAGAGCCTAAGGGGCGGGCTTTGTCATGATATAGGGTGCACAACCAGGGGCGCAGGTTCGGCGCAAGCTGGAGCACCCAATGCAAGAGGCCAACTAAACTGTCCAATTCCCGGGACGTACACACAGACCCTGCTAACACTGCAACAATGGCGCTCAACAGCTTTTGCACCTTAGCTGCCGGCAGGCAGAACGCCCCTGCGCGAAAATGGATTTGCCACCCAATAAATTCCACCGCCGGGCCCAGCTGAAGCTTCCTCCAAGAGATCGGGAAATTAAACGCTTGGCAAAATGAGAGACGCGGAGAGGTCTAGAGCGCCAACTGCCTGCCAAAACAAAGCGTCGTCAACGTACATGATCATGACATGCGCAACCCAGACCACCCTGTGACAACACCTCATGAAAAACCCGGCAATGCGCTGCCACCAATGGGCACTGAAAGTCCCTCCAAAAGGCGCAACCCGGTAGAAATAATATTTGCCATTGACCTTAACACCCAGAAGGCCCCTTTCTGACTCGCGAATGCGGACCGACTTGTGCGCGGAAGCTATATCCAGAGTAAACCCGCCAACTTCATCAGAGCAACCCCGAATGGGAAAACCGGCCTGTATATCCCCCAGCCCTGGAAGGGTGAACCTCTCGGGAATAACGCAGGCTGGGTTGGCGCCTGACACAGTGGGGTCAATGATAAGCCTGGGCTTACGGCCAACAACTTGGACGATGTTGGCTTTGCCAACCGCCACGTGAGGCCAGCGGCGGCGGGCCTCCTCGAGGGATTCAATGCATTCAAGATAGCCGGCGGAAACCTCTGCTTGAATCATCTTGTCAAGGAGTTCAGGGTGCTGTTCGGCCCCTGGCCAATTCCCGGAACAGATCTGGAAGTCCGCATCATCCATGTCATTGCGCGAGTGGGGCACTGGAATGAACGTGTTGCTAGCCGGGATGTCCCCAGCCACCCCGGCAGGAACGCCTTGCTGCAACGCTGGCCAGAGAGCAACATCCCGATCTTGCAAGGACTTAGCCAAGAGCGCTAAAGCACGCAACGCATAAGGCTGACCCGAATCCACACTCCAGTCCACCCCTTCTGAAAAACCCTTGCTACGGAACCAGGACTCCCAGCAGCGGCGCAGCTGCTGAACCTCGGGCTCAGAAAACAAAGGCTGAGCATGACGATCGGCCACAAATTGCCGAAGCCGCATTGGCACCCGCCATTGCAAAAGCAGGGCCCGGAGATCAGCGCGCAAGCTTTTGAAGGAATCCGAAACACCTGGCTGGGGCGTAGCCCAGTCGGGGACAGAATAGATGCCACCCCCATCTTGACTTGCCCGTGGGAAAGAATCATAGGGCAGAGCGGGGACAGAGGACAAAGCAGCTTGCAACGAGAAGGCCGTCGCCCTCACCTTGGAGGGGAAAAGAGGGTCCATCAACTCCACATAACTGGCAGCCAAAGGCTCAGGGAACTCAGCAGTTTCCCGCGACACGAATTGCCCTGACGATGAAATCTGGCCAGCAAAAGGCTGGTGGAAGTCCTTGGGACGCGCACACACAGATTGCAGGGCCTGCATCGCCCGCCAGCTGGTCGCAAACATCCAATGCTTTTTGAAATCCATGGAAAAGGCGCACGCTGCAACTACAACCAGATCCGCGGAAATATCCAGCAGAAAACCTTGCGTCGCTGGTTCGAGCCAGGACATTGCGTTGCGTGGCTGCTCCAAACACACATGTCCGCCAGCTTGGTACACGGCATGCAAAAGCAGAATAGTGCGCGTCAGGATCAAGCGGCTGGATTCCACCCTTTCATTGGCCGCGGCATCATTCCACGGAAAACCATTCAAGTGCTCAGGTGACCTACAAGGCGCAGGGCCAGGCCCAGGCAAGAGTTTTAACAGGGAATACTCGCAACACGGAGGACTACCGTGGCCAAAACGAACCTTGCCGCTGAACGCTAGGCGAAGCAACCGCTCGAAAAATATCACATTGCACAAGTCGTGGTCTACATTTATCAGCACATCAATTGCTAAGGCCGGGATGCCCCGCCGCTGCGCAGCTGAAGCCAAAGGAGAATGTGCCCCAGAACAGATATCCAAAAAGAAGTATGGCGCAGCCGGAATGTCAATGCCAGGCTCACTAGGCACCGGGGGCAGCACAACTGAAGGCGGCAACATCGAAAGGTCCACGTCAGGCACAGAGTAAGCCGTGAGCACCCACACTCACCGCTCCAAGGCCTCGAAGCGTGCCACAGGCTGCCATCAAAGGAAAAGGGGCACTCACGCGTGACCACTGTGCGGCCCAACAAAAAGGCATTCAGATCCGGAACAAAAAGGCTAACATCCCCTGCAGCATCTTCAAGCCACAGGGCACCCCCCACGAAATCTCCAAGGCTGACGGTGTAACGCACAGGATCCAGGGCATGGCCTGGATCACGGCAAGGCGTCATCTTGCAATTGCGACACACAGAAAGAGCATTCCAAACCCCATCGGGCCACAGGCCACGCAAAAAAGAATTCAGGTGTCGCGCGGAAGTAAGAGTGTCACAAGCATTGGACTGCGCACCAAAAACCCAATAGCCCGAATTCAACCTAGCCGACAATGCGACGTGCTGGTGATCCCCATGAACTGCAGGCCAAGGCGTGTTAACCAGGATTTGCAGACAACCCGCGTAATTCGGCGACTCGACCAGCCCAGGCGGCTTTGCGCCCACAACCGATTCCGAAGCACACTGACAAGAAGGCGCGGCGCCTGCAGGTTCAGGCCCTGCAGGACGTCAGAACAAAAAGAGGATTGGGTGGCCTCAGAGGCCACAGGAGAAGAAGCAATCAACTCCGCATCATCAACAGCTGAAGGCACAACGGGCAGAGACACCCCACTCAGCGTTGTGCATGCAACAGACTCCGAAGAATCCTGACACCCCGGCGTGGCGCCTGCGGGCTTAGGCAGGACCACAGAGCAAACGGAGGATTGGGAGGCCATAGCCACGTCAGGAAAGGCACAACATCCTGCGTCAGGAAGGGACGAAGGCTCAAAGGGTGATAAGGGGTCACACGCTTGGGCTCCTACAGAAGCAGCAGCACAACTGGCCAAACATGCGCCTGCCGCACTGCCCGACTCCGGCGGGTCCACAAACATGTCCCCAGCTGTCAATGCGGCGTCTTTTTGTGCTGCGAGGGCTCATGCTCGCCCAAGCAGAGCTTGCCGTTGCCTGTGAAGACCCCACACACCTTTCCGCGAGTGCAACGGCCCTGCTGAAAATCCTTGCATAACATACGCTTGGCTCTGCCCGCCATGTAGAAAGTGCCGATTTTCAAGCCTGCAACCACAAGAGGGGCTGCTTTGCCGTGGCCCTTTTCGCCTTTCTCGCCAGAACGCTCAAAGTGACCTCCGCCTTTGCTGTAACCACCCTGGTGAAATCCCTTGCCTTTTCCCTTGAGGCGGAAACCATCCGCGCGCATCAAAACCTTGGGGATGGTAGGCCGAGGCGTTAACAAGTTCTGCAGCTCGGACCTGACAACGACTACCTCATGGATGGCGTCATCCAAAGACCACTGCTCATCGTTACACAATGCTGCTATGGACTGCCAGAGCCGTTGATCTGCATCCTGTGCCTCTGACACAGTAGGACCTCGCAGGCCACTTTCAGGAGAGAACTTCTCAAGACATCGATTGATGAATCGTCGGTTCATTTCGCGCAGGGTATACAGGTGAGCTCCCCCGCACAAGGCTATCGCCACAGCTTGCAAGCCAAGAAGCTCCTGCATCAAGCACTTGCCCATATGTGGCCCAGGGATCTCGCGCGTCGGCACATCATCAAAAAGGAGGGTCTCCAGCCGCGGCGCCTTGGCCGGGCGGGTCATGGCTTGACGCTCCTGCTGCTCCTCAGACAGGCGAAACTTCCACGGGACATAACGCCAGTGGTTATCTTGAAGCTGCTTAGCTACCAGTGCTAACAGACGCGCGCTCGGCATGCACTCAGGCGACAATGGCTCACTAGGATAGCGGGACTTGAACCTTGCCACCATCTCTTTGACCTTGTCGGAGCCAAGCTTTTTGGGGAACGCCTCCACCCATCCGGACTCCGAGGATGGAGGTTGCGGCGCTGTCACAACAGCCGGCGAGGGTGGGACCTGAGACAACTCGCAGCAACGCTTCCAGAGGAGGCGGACGCGGGCCACCAAAAGCGGGTGAGGCAATTCAGTCTCTGCAGGGAATGCAAGGGACGAAATGAATGAGTCAAGGTCTTGCAAACCTGTGGCAACCATGCCAAACTCACGCGGTGTGTACAGCAGGAAATCTGCACGCATGCATTGCGGCACACGCAGCTCCTCGAGCAAGTGGTGCATAGACACCTCAGACTGCTCGTCCTCGAGCTCAAAAGACCACCACTCCTGCGCGCCAGGATCCATTGGGACGCGGAAACAAACACTGCCACAAGTCTACCAAGTCTACCTGAAATGCAGTCTCTACCAGCTAGGCCAAAAGCAACTGCCGAGGCGATACATATGAACACTCATCCTGTGGGAGCAAACACACATCTTGACACGCGCATCCTACCTACTCAGCATGACCACACACGCAGTTCACCTCCTAGCACCTTCAAGAACTCTTGTAGCATGTTTGAAGAGTCACTCACACTCAGCTCGCCCAAGACCCCCAAGATACCGAGATTCTGAGATGTCCTACAACATAAGCAAGACAGAGAAACGTGCAGCGCCCTTCTGTAACTGTCAGCTAGTCTTTCTAGTCTGCATGCCAATCAGCTCTTTCGAGACATCCTAAGCTGCACACAGGACAAAGATAAGCCGCTCTGTATTTCCGCACAAGGCAATGCATCCGCGCGATGCACACCTACGTGTTTCAGCTTTGCAAAAGCGGCATGAACCAGGGCCTTCGCCCTAACCAGCATGGAGCATCTCCTGTGAAGGAAGCCCCTGGCATCTCCAGCACTGGAAGCCAATCAAGCTCAAACGCGCATTCAAGACCGCAAAGCATTCGCTCAATGCAGCATAAGGCATCTCCACTGCCGCGTGGAAGCCCCCGGCATCTCCAGCCAACCCAGCCGGAAGCCAGCTTTACAAAACCCTCTGCAACGGCTAGCCCTACGATAACGCATAAGCATCACCTAAAGACACTAGGAAACAGAAACATTCTAACATAATAGACGCAGGGCCGACGTGTAGCGGCCACCATCAGAGACCGTTGCGAAGTTTGCAACATGCCCGATGCTGGCACAACCTGGCACCATCAGGCACTGAGTCCGCAACCACGGGGTCGCGAAGGAACGCCCCGCACGCCGCACGAACAGTTGCACTCACGCCAGCCTTAGGTGTCACCGCCACATGGGCAACACCCGACCCAGAACGCACCCAGAGGAATTCCTCTGCACACCCTTCTGGAGGTGAAGCCAATGACACATGGCCCTCTGTAGGTTCACCATCAGAGTCTGACTCGTATATCACGGGGGGTGTGTTCTCCCCAGCAAGCACGACGGGCACATCCACATCTTCATGAATTGCAGAAGAAACAACTAGCTCAGGGTGATGCTGTGGCTCCGGCACACGAGTTGCGTATTGGAACCAAGGGTACTGCGAAGCGACTTCAAGCGCCGGGAAGTCACGGCAGAAAGGGGAGGAACGTAAAGGGACCTGACCTCCTCTACCTATGGGGGTGGATGGCAACCATCCGGCACGGACCCTCTCAATCACACTTCTCTGCACAGAAAGTGCTTCCCATGTGTCATCCCGAGCATACAAATCGGCACAGTCGCCACGATGATGACCTTGACGGCGCCTGGCCTGCTTGCACAGGAGAAGTTCTGCCATCCACGCGAGGAAAGTAGCTTTGGCGGAATGGAGAGTATATGACTCGCAGGACATGGCATCATCTGGGCTGAAATCTCGAAGAAGAGCCCGCAATCGGCACAAGGTCTGACCATATGAGAGGGGGGCGAACTCGCCACAGTGCCAACTGAAAAACAATGTGTCTGGCAAAAAGTCATCGCCAAGGGCACGCCAAACTTCATCCCAAACATCGCCCAAAAGTTGAAGGTAGAGCGCTGGCCAAGTCTCCGCTTGAGACGCGGGCGACCCAAGGAAACCCTCACAAGCAATGGCCCACGGCATGCCTTGAGAAGAAGTCTTAGACCTATAAGTAATGCCTCGCAAATTAAACCCATCTAAGCTGAGAGTTTGCCATTCCACGTGTAGCATATCACAACACCTGAGAGAAGCGGACACCATCAGGAGAAGACTCCCGCAGAAAATCCTGTGCTGCGTAGGCAAATCTGGCGCGCGCAATAAACGCTCAAGCTGGGCCACAAACGCTAGTGGCAAAGGAAGGGACTCCCTGCGCTGCCGATCCTTAGGCGCATCAAAAATCTGAAGCAAAGGGGACGCAGTGTCCCACGGCAAGTGCAAGACACGGGTCACCCAACGAATGGCCTTCAGCGAATTGGTTGCATGAATCTTGTTCGTGGGATCGGCTCTCAAAGAGAACACGGCATCAACCAACTGGACGGCTGTGAAGTGCTCAAGATCAACATCAGTATCACGCAAAAATGCAAGCAGTTGCTGGATGGTGCCCAAGTAACGAAGAGCTGTCACATCCGACACTCGGCTCAAGAGAGCACGCTCCATCTCTTCCTGATTGTCGAAGCAAAGGGCTGACTTGGCGAAGCGCGCCACGAACCTCAACCCACATTGGCCAAACCTTCTGCCAATTGAGGGCATGCGCATCAGACTGACGAACCGAACCCTTGATGGGGCGTCTCAGGCAAGGCATTCCGCCCACAATTCTTTTAGGGATTTTAGGGCGGCCGGACAACACACGCAGCGGAGGCGCAGCTACAGCTGACCTGGGCAGCCCAGCCTTACTGAAGGGCGACCTGCCTGGCTCCAACATGGGGCCAGGCGATGTACCACTGCCGGTCTCCTCAAGTTTACGCAGAACAGGGAAAGTGGCCTTCGACCTGAATTGCGGACGCGGCAAAGGCATTTCCACCATGGAACACACAGGGTTATGATTATGAGGCAGAATTGCAGGCCTAATGCAGGGGTAGGGAGCAAACCTTACACCCAAGGGCCGCTGCCATACTCTAGTGAAACCTGCATCCATGCGCAGCGGAGGCGGCAGAAGAGCCTCCACAACAGCCGGCGCAAACGCAGACGCTCGT